CTTCCATTTCAGTTTCTCTGTAATGAAAACTCTTAAACAAATATTTACCCAAACTTAGTAAAATATACGAGTTAGTACTCTGTAGCAATGCAATGAATTTCATCTTGGTTGGTGGTGAAAAATAATATTTTGGTAAGAATTTTTGTCTAAGTGCTTCATATTTTGGACATACCATAGTAAAATGATATTCGTCCTCTGTAACCCTGCAACCAAATGGACATAATCTTTGGTCACGTGGAATACCCAATGTTCTACCATTTTCAATTTCTAGGGGATGACAGGAAATTCTAAGTCTAGTTATAGCACATGAATAGATAGGAGTAGCCAACGAAATAGCAGTGAGATATCTTTCATATATTAAATCTTGTTTAAACATGCAATATGTTTGAAGCTTTACATTTTTATTAATTTCTGCACACCAATTCTGTCTAGATATATCAAAACATCTTTTTTTAAATTCACTGAAGAACATCTCGCTATTATCAATTCTTTGTTCATACCAAAGATGTCCATAACCAGATGTACATAAAATATTTTTTACCTATAAAGCCCAACACCTAGACCCCCCTTCTGCTCTATGGTATAGATTGTTTTGCTTTTACATAAATGTAAAAAAAAGCGCGGAAGTTGCAACAAATGTCGAAAAACTCGTGAATTTTATGGATTTGAATAAAATAAAGCTAGTGGTTGGTAAGACTGGTTAATAATATACCCCCCGATGCTCTTCGATTTGTTTTAATTGTATTTCAAGGCGAGAAATAGATAATTGAAGTTCCATCGATTTCAAGGCGATTGTTTCACCGCGACAACTCTACGCTGTGTTGTAGTTTCATGAGGTAAAAAAATATATATAATAAATAGTACGTGTTTAATTATTTGGTTTCACAGCCCGCAAATTACGGGAAATGATCCCCATGAATTACGATAAATAAATGCTGATTCTGTTGAATAATGGACGTCGGGACCGTTTGCTGAAACCAACGGGGATCGATATTCCAAACAAATTATTGGGACACGGTCGGTAGACATTTCAAACAAATGATATTATTAACGAAAGACGAGATTTTTCCAGATATTTACGAACTTACTGTCACAACAAATATATGCCAAATTGACAAATACACAAAGAGATATTAGGTATTATTTTAGCCTTAGAAATATTTTCTTCACTCAGTCCATGCGTGGTACTTCTATTTAGCTTCATGGTCCTTCGGCTTGTGTTCTCCTTGGGGGGAAATAACAATAATTATACAAATCGTAAACTCAACGCAGCCAGGAAAAGAAACCCGGACAACCATGTCGTACTTCTGTTGAAATACATTTTGTAGCAGTGCGTCACGTCAGATATTGTTTAAAATAAAATAGTCAATCCCAGCCAAATCTAGGTCAAAGGGTCAGATTGCGTGCATATAATTATAGATAGTTAAAACAAAAAGTATTTGAACTTTTGGTGGTTGTTTAACATCTATGCACGGTTACTAAACTAGTAACCGTGATCTATGAAAACCATAAAATTGTTAGTAGTCCGAATTTTTGCACAGTCGAAAATAAAGCGGAAATTCAACAAGCGGTCGCAAAAGCGAGCGATTGAAAAGCGGAAGCGGGCGAGAGGTTGGGCGAAATGAGTTCTGTACCTCTTTGTTTGATGAAGCGATGCTGATGCCACATTGTCGCCATAATGAGGCCACAATGAAGAGAAGCGATAACCGCCTAACTTTTTAATGTCGCGACATTGAAGCGATGCTGAAGCCATAACAATGCCATAATGATGCGATGCTGAAGCGAAGGTGAAGCTGAAGTGAAGCCAAAGCTTCCGCGAGAACTGTACTGTATTCTACTGCTGTATGTACCTTTTTAACTCGTACACATTCTATCCAACTGCTAGATGTTCTTCACTAACTACATACATGTTATCATACAACTACATGTAATCAAAATTAGAGCGGCCTCTACAGTTCAAAACAATAAACTTTTTACAATGGTCAAACTTCAAATAAATTAGCCTTCATCGCTCAGTAGAAAAAAAAGTACACTGTTGGTTAAGTCGAAACAATTGTATCCTGAAGTGATTGTTACTGGTTACTCTGAATGGTTATACTTTCTTTCCATATCCGATAATTGTTCGCAAATCACTGACATAAATCAATATTTTCATCGACGTGAAACACTCTACTCTTGGCGTTGGAAGTAGAAAGCAAGTTGTTAAGTGCACTAAATTTAACGCTGCAATAACGGAAATTGATTCAGAAAATCAATATATGGTTATCAATATATAAACATAAAATCGTACTTGTTTAAATCGCGTTTATGTATAAATGAATGTAAAGAATTTGTGGCGTTTGAAAGCTGTATTATGCCCAATCTACCATTGTGAACGAATCTTTAGTTTCTTGACTGTGTTGGAGTGGTCTAAATGTTGAGTTATTTTCATAATCATGTTGGTAAGATTAAATTACGTTGTCGGATGGCTTGTTGAATTTGTGGTATGTTGCTTGGCTTTGGGGTACCTTCTGGGAATCGCACATGTGATATTTTAACTGCTCAACAATATTTACACAAGTCACTGCATGTCGTTTTCACCACTTTATAATATAACACACATCAAGAGTTGCACGTTCCGAGGCCTAATTATACATCAACGTTGAGTGGTGAACCGTACTGAACCGATCCGTCGTCCACTCTCTCGTTGATCGTCTATTCTGTCCTGTTTCCACTGTACTCTTATTTAACTAACAGTCCCAACTCGTAAAGTTACATTGTGGGATGTATCGTATTACCTTGAGATCACTTCGCTCTCTTGTGTAATCAAGGAAATGGAGTGTGCCCGCAGCAACTGAGCTAAATATATTTTGGGCAGCAATCATCTCGGTGATTGCTCGTATATAGCCAACGAGAATACTTTCATATAATTTTAGGTGTATCCCAGACTGGGGACAGCCATGATGATTTTGGGTCTTAATTTGTGTTACGTGTGTACATCTTTCTTGACACATTGGAATTCAACAAATTATCATCTTGATACACCTCTGGGGATATATGTGACTAATAATCTGATGCTCAACATGACCGGGTAGATAAACTACACATTGTGATTCAGTCTATCCTTCGTCGTTCAAAATTTGTGTATAAGTTCGTATCAGTTGTGTACATAGCGGCCGACAACACTGCTCGGCTCAGATAATTAACAGCTGTGCTATTATGAGAACGATTTGAGTTATGCTGCTGTGGTAAATCACATTTACACATTAACCGTCTATGCTATGCTATGCAAATATGGAATTGCTTCGTGTAGCAACCAACGTTGAGCTATTACGCTTTTATTTTCATTGGTAATGGATCTACGAAAGTGTCTTGTTGAAAGAAGATTTTGTTATCGAATGTTGGTGATAGACGATGTTATTGTATCTGCACAATAACAGCAAAAGCTGCATTACAATAAAAAAGAACATCAGTGTTAATACGCGTTTTTTTATTACCATAATCAATCAACAAATTTGCCGACCTGCTAAGTTCAAAACACTTTCAGCTGTCGTACACACAATTCATTGGGAGACCATATTAAGCCACACAATCACAATCTACAGTAGAAAAAGAACATGTGCTTGATTAAAACATAGTAAATTCATATTTAAATTGGCATCCATAATAACGACTTCATAATTATTATTGTTTAAAAAAAACTCTAAATTGCATTGGACATTTCTGAAAATCTTCACAACGTTCTTGTATGAACACTGCTTTTTTATATTGTTACATACCAATAGCTAATTGGCAGACAAATCCCTTCTTTTCGGTACAGTACTCATCATCATAGGAACCCCTCATCTGTGGTCTGTACCTAAATTAAATGGTATATATAAATTTGAAAAGGACATTAGTATGTGGCTAGTAGCCATTCTATATAAATAGTATGAGTTATGGCTTTGTGACGAATAGTTCTGGTACGTCAGACATCATGTAGCATATACGCATGTTATATAGCGAGGCAAATTAAAATATAAGATATGCACTAAAAAAAAAATATTTGAATATCATAAGGAAAAGATGATGAAAAGTGAATTTTATGAAATAATTATCAAAATAATACATAGGATAACACAATAATGCAGCGTTATTTATCTTGAAATTTATTATGTGAGCATTAATATTTAGAACATCACTTATCTTACCACATCTGAACGCAGTTTTGTCCGTTCGGGTCTTGAGTGTCGTTATCATTAGGCTGGGCTTCTGCCCACTTCTCGAAATAAGAACACATTTCAAAGTGCCATGAAAAGAATTCTGGATGTGTTTTGTGCCTTGGATCATGCGGTAGTTCTCTCATATCTTTGAATCCAATCCAGAAACCCCAGTTGCACGTATCGCCTTTCCACTCAGTAGGGATAGACTGTTTTACGCCAATAAAAGTAGCTTCTTTGTCCATGGTAGCAAGTCCAACTCCACCAGGAAGTCCCTGGCAATAATTATTTGCATCACTCCAAGTCATACCTTCGTTGGTATCAGGATTTTTACAATAGACTTGGTACTCGTAACAGGTACATTGTTGGGAGGTATCTAAAAGTATGTAAACAATATACAACATTTGAAGCGGTATACAAACAGACATACATCAAAACAATGTCTTGCAAACTCTTCTGCTTGAAAAAATGCACATGATCACCGTGTGACGAAAGAAATATAAATATATGTATATTGTATTCACATGAATATTTCAATTAAATTCAGAAAACATTCAACTTACAATATTCGGCATATGACATGCCAAACAATACAAGGAGAGTCAGTACAAACAGCATTTTGGTACCAGTGAGACGTTCAATTGCCTGATGAATGAAACAAATGAACGTCAATCAGTTATGTGGGCGTTTTGTTTAAGATATCATCGTGCAAAATCACATCACAATACAGATTTTCCCATTACACACTCATTAGCTATTATTAGCAATGATAATCATAGTTTTACCAGTCTGTGAGTTACCGAGACATGAAGCTGATCATTCCAGATAGGCATATTATTTTGACAGAACTATACGTACGTATTATTGCAGCTTTAATATATTATTTAGTAAACAAGTACTTAATTGATTTGATTTCATTGCACTGAAGATATATTTATTTTGAAGTGTTGTATGATATACACGTTTATTGGTACTTACTCCGATTCAGTTCTCAGTTCAACAAGTGCACGTCTTCTATAAGCAATTCCAAAGCTGATGGAGAAATTAGATGGTACTTTATAGACCAAGAATAAGGCCGCAAAACAACTCAAAAAGGCAATGTTATATTATGACGTCATGCATGTGTACAATGTACATGTCTGTCAAATATGTCATTAGTCACAAGCTGAAAATACATGTGTATTTCATTTACAGTGTTCTTGGTTTAAATTACGATTTTCCGGAAGGAATCTCAAATTTTAATTGACTTAAAAACCTTTAGAATACTCTTTCGAACCAACAGCTTAGCTAGGTATCATACTGAACCTTGCCTACTGGAAGACATATTTCAATAAGGAAATTAGCTGAATTTGAAATTATCAACAATTTAACTTCAAGTAACATATCATAGAATTAATTAGTTTCATTTATTAACCGAGTAAACGATTGATATGAAAAAATAATCATCCCTCGCCATCAAGGGACACAATAATGCCGGGTAATCAACTTCATGTGTTAAATGATATCTGAGTTCAACGAAACTATTTAAATAAATATATCAAAATAACAACTCTTGCGATTATTGTAATTTTACACAAATATATACATATTGAGAAGTTGGTATATTTTATGATGGCCAATCATACCTGTTAGATAGCATTAAATAATAGAAATTAAGACTACATTGCGTTATCATGTAGAATTACTAAATATTCATATTTCAAATATTTGATTTTTGATTGCATGCAAGATTGCGAACAATAAAGAGCTGGGATTTTTTCCCCTGTAAAGCTGACCACATATTATGTGATTGTGTTTGAATGTGAGATGTCAAACCATTGTAATATAATGACATAAGAACCATTTTGAAAAGACACCGAAAAATTTGCAGGCTAACTCGAAGATGAGGTTTTTGACCGTCGCCATTCGTAAAACACTTTGGGTGTCAATCAAAACCTAAAATTACGTTCCATATCTGTTAACTTGCACTACAGCGTCCTCCTACAACATACTACAAAATTCTACATGTATAATATTTGATGTGACCAAGATTATACAGAACGTTCGGGCATATGAGTCAATCTTGTTCAAACTGGATTTTTACATTTTCTAAAAATGTTATTGTACATACAAGTTTCATTGAATTTTTTAACCAGTAATCTTGAATCCTTTATCGAGAGTCATAACCACGTCCATTATTTCTTTCAATCAATGCCATAGCTTGAAGGGTGCCATTCTTTTCGCTTTCCTAAAATTGTGCAGATTTCCAAACTATGTAATTACTTCAAATGATTGAAAGCCTATTAATAGTTTGAGTACTTGAAAAAAAACATGTACAAACGTATGATTTACTGACTTGTCAATCTATTTCTAAATAAGATATATTTTTCGGAAAATATTTATCATACACTTGATATTGACAGAATAATTGTACTTCCGTAGTCATAATTAAGAACGTGGACGTACACGATGCACGTCATCAACTGCCTTTCATGAAAGGTCAGCTTATATATTCTAGTGTGCAATGGTTAACAATAGTTAAATACAGAATTTAATAGAAAACTTGCTATTGATTATATCGAAACAATTGTATAAAGTTATTGTTACTGGTTACTCTGGATGGTTATAATTTGGTAACTGACTTTGATCGAAATCACTATTTCATTGTGTTTCATTTGCATTTGATTAAAAGAGCTTTAATAAATTAGCACTAACAGTTCAAAAGCCTGATGAATACATTTTTTATACGAAGCCATGCACAAAACACATTCTACCTATCCTGAATTGTAATTTAAATTGTATTTCATGTCATTTATTGTTGTGTATTTTTACTCATTCGGTAATGACAAAATAATTAGACTGTCATTAGAACAATTTATATTTGACAACGTGAATGTACACGGGACACGTCATCAACTGCAAAGCATGTCAACAGTGGTCTAAATGGCTTGGCACAAAAACATTATGGAAAAACCGTATTAAAATGGCTAATGGAAACCCTGATATTGAACATTAAATGGAGGTTCAAGCTCTGTTGGGACAGTATTGACTCAGTTTCGGTTACATAAAAAATAACCTGTGCACAGATGACATTATACATATTGACCTTTAATTGACGTAAAGCGTCCATAGTATAGATTACACATTGAATCATCCATTGCCTTGACGACTGTGAGTATTATACGATTGCAGTCTAACAAACAGGCATACACGCCTGTAACCCTTGAGTTGAAATGTAGGATTTCACCAAATTAAAAACTTCATCTTGACTTATTACTGAAATACTTTTTTGGGATGTATTTGATTAATGCCTTATACCCTGCATGATCGGATAAAATAAGCAAACATGGTAAATCACTGTGGCTTTGTTCTAATGTTATTTGTATATATAACTATATTCAACACTTAAAAGCGACTGCAATTTGATGCGTCTATATAACATTTGTATCTAGTGCCTACTTCCGCCTGTACAGGATGTAACCTGAAAGCCTGGGACATACTGATTCTTATGATTGACATCATTTCAACACACCTCATCAGTTGTCTAAAATGTATTGTGGCACTGAAGTAAATGGAAATGAAGGCTTTGAATCATAATGCAAAATATTGGTTGTTTGAAGAATACGCGTTAACATTACCCCCCCCCCCCCCACTGATTTCTGAGCAATTGGTTGTTGCGCTATGAATCCACTTTTGTCTATCATTGAGCCAGAACATGAACACTTGAGCTGGTATAGTATTTTTTATTCAGGAATGAATGTTATCAACTGTTTTCAGGATGAATTGATACATGCAGATATGCATCTTTGAGCTCGAGTAACGCCAGGTAATCCTTGAAATATATTCGGCGGTACCTCCCCGTCTTTCTTGTCTAGCACAAGCATGGTGGGGTAAAACAAAGGAGATTTGAACACCGCTGTGGTTCACATGCTCTTGTTCAGTGAACGTTCTTTCAATATAAATGGAATTCATTATACAAGAATCACACTCCACCCACAGGAAGGTAATGCGCAATATTGGCTGTCGAAACATGGAAGCCCGCAAAAAAGGGCACCTGACGATTGGCATATACTTTAACTACCCTGATGTGCGATTTATGAGCCACAAACAGGAACATTGTTCGATAAATCAGAGTAGGTGTCACCCATTTCAGTCATCATATCCAGCGTGTAGGACAGCGCCATCAACGAGATACGTCAATAGATTTCCCGATTTGTGCATCTGACAATTTATGTAATCTCATGCTGACTTCTAAGGTCCAATAATCGCTCTTTTTTAGAAAAAGGTATCTCCGTCAACACACTGAATAACATGGTTTGGGTTTGTTCCCAAATATGTGCAGTATCCAACAATGTGGCAGCTTTGTTTGGGGTACTGATTGGTGCCATATCGCGGAATCCACTTCCCACTCTCTTTACCCAAGAAGGCCTTGACAACTGTCGTTGACCATGTAAGTGAACCCATTCTTTGCGCTACAACAGTGGTGGTAAAATAACGTACAGTGACATCAGGCTCTGTCTATGGGTCATGAACATTTTGAGAACCGCCTCAGTGGCCTCACAAATCTGCTCATCCAAAGAAAGCCAAATTGTAACAGCTTGATTTTCGCTGCAATCAATAAATTCCGATATATTGCTGCCCCAGCGTCCAGCTGTAACTAATGCAAAGGTGGAACCCAAAATATATTTGACTATTCTAATAACTTCACTCAATCCTGTGATTCCAGAAACCTCTCATGGCTCCCAAAATAGTTGCTGCATTCACATTTATCCACTTGCTCCCTGACGAGATCTACCTAAGGTCAATTCATTACCTGATTACTCTCGAAATTTCCGTTACAAATAGCATGGCTATCCATGCAGTGATCAATTTACTGGGGGCAATAAAATAACATGTAAAGTTCAAACAAACGTGTCACTTGAATCGTTAGCAATGTAGGTAGAACACTGGCGACATTCACACATATTACAGAGTCCTAATTTTACTTTAATCTAATTAAGAATGACGGACACTAAATACCACTAATAAATACACAAATCTGTGGTTACGATGGGGAAATTCAAAATGTTTGTGAAACAATATGATCCGAACATGCGAAGGAAATGTGAAAACTATTATTGTTTTCACAGTAGCTTGTTATACTTGTGACACAAGTACATCATGCCAATCACCAAACACTTGGACCTAGACAATTCACAAAACAGTTTCCATAACTATATAGAACATTTACATTAAGAGCACAATAATGAAGAAGGCACTGTCGAACCTTGACGCATATTTAGAGACGATCAGTTTTTATTCCGGATATTCCCCCAAAACAAACGGAATAAACTAATCAATGCCACTGTCAGAATATCGAGTACAAAAAACACCGTCTCAGAGGAAAATTACTTACAAATCGCGGCATGTGTTACTGAATGTGGACAAAAATTGTCAATAACATGAACACACACAAAAATTGAGAAAAGATAACTCCGGTAAAATGCCCAACTATGTGTAAAATCAACGCAACATTGAAAAGCATTCTGCTTCAGTATTAGAAAGGGTAGAAGCAGAGTGTTAATTTGCATAAGCAAAATACCTTAATGTGCAGGCAAAATGTTATAACAAATGGGCACGCAATCGAACAAGTGATAGCTAAGATAACTGAAAAAATAATGACACCAAAACCATCTTGGTACTATTGCTTAAAGGGTACAATCGAGTGTCAATTAATTTAAAACACCTATTGGACATTACAAACAGGCAAAATACAGTAACTATATCTACGGGTGACAATGTAAAGATGTGTTTTAGAACTCTGGTACATACAATACACCATAAACTCACCTGTTAAACTTCTTAGTATCAGCAAACTGAACAAACTTCACAATGGGTCGGTGTTTTATAATCAACTTTAATTACATGCAATCAAAATTCTAATTGAAGTGAGCATGTGTTTGGAACATTAGCTTAATTATCTTTAGTAAACTTTGACGTTGTTTCTGTTGTGCTCATGTGTCAAATTCAATAGTTTAATTACACACTATAAATTACATTGTAATTTGTACACACAC